TTTTATTCTCATTACATTACCTGTTCATACAATGTGTATGGGAACTCCTGAGTCATGGCCTGAACCTCTGATTGATCACCTGAGGCGAGCCATGAGTCAGCCAGAGGAGCCCAGGTGAAGGCAATTCACCTGTGCTGCCTGGCTCCACCCCTGCTAGACCTATTTCAGAGCCGGCTACCAGTGGGGAATGCTCTCTTCTGGAGCCTCTCTACCTTCACTATTTTTGGATCCTGTCCAATAGCTTTTTGTCTTATATTGTGGCTCCCACAGCCATGCTTGAGGTGAGGCTGCACTAATACTGGGCAGAGAAAAACCATCCCTCACCTGGATAGCAGTGTTTGTGGAGAAGAAATGCACTTAATGCTTCACAGTGCCTAGCTCAACTGAAATACCTGCGGAGGCCATATCTCCAGGCATAACTAAACTAGTCCCAAGTTGCTGCATCTCACGCCGGCATCCAAATTGGCTCCTGGATGGTTCAGGAACATCAGTGCAAGGAAGGACAATTCATCTTTGTATTTCCCCTCTGGTGTCATTACAGCTTCAGAGAACCACAGAATTCAGTTCTTGGAATGTATTTCTCTCTGTTCAGGCTAACTTCACACACTTCCTCTTGGAAAACATAGGGATGCAGTATGCACTGGCAGCTCTGAGAGTAAAAGGCTCTGTTAGGATTGCCGCCACATCTTCCCGCAGATATCAACCTTTTCTTCAAGCTCTTCTATAGTCTGTAGTTTATCAGTGTAAATTTCTCCGGATGCATCTAACTTTTAAATGAGAATAACTTCATATCTTAAAAGTTGTAGGTTCTTCATTATCAGTTCGGAAAATTTACAGCGAGACGGGTCGATACGTCAGGTATCAACACATAATTATTTAAATGTAGTACGTATAGCACAGGGAAATGCCAAATACATGCTTGTACTTTAGGAGATAACATTTAAATTCCACAAAGCATTTTCAGAGCACAACCAGCTACTTCTGAGCAGAAAATAACACCTGGGACAGTGGCAACGTACCTGGCACTTTGACACGAGGTAAGCTACAATGGGCACATGTTGAAACAGCACTGCCAAATGAATGCTACTGAATCCTTCCCCATCAATAAGGCTGGGATCTGCTCCACACTTCAACAATAAGGTGACCATGGGTAGGTGTCCTTGTCTGTAACAATATATGAGACTACAGCCATAACAGAAAGCTTGAAATCTTAATGAAAGCGTCACCTTCACAATTCTTAGACACTCTTTTAGAAAAATCATCTCTGGTTCTTATACTTTCATGAAGAAACTTTTTTATTTTTCCTTTAAGCCGAAGGTCTGTATCAGAGAATTAGGTAGGACCCAAGAAGCCAAGTCTGACCAGCACTGCCCTGGGAAAAGTTCAAAATGCAGGTCTGCCTGAAGCACAGATGCATGCATAACCACAACCTGGCAGCCTGCAAAGTTGCCAAGAATCAGAGAACAGATTTCAGTGTAATTATGGACATGCTGTCAAGTTCTGTGTAACTCAGCAAAGGAAACACACACCATCAATTCATTTAAGATGACAGCAACACCAACAGTTGCACAAAACGCTGCTGTTAAGACCAGCAGATTTATTATGGGAAGTGGCAAGCAGCACACCTGATGGCCCAGTGAAGGGGAGTTGATTCAAGTCTCCACCTAGCTGATCCACTACTGCACCTTTGGAAATATAGTACCTGCATAACAGCAACAGAACAAGAATAAGGGAACACATAATAAAGCACGAAAACATTGTGCTGAGGATAACATAGGTGTAATAGCAAGCGGCTTGCAATAAGCAAGTTTTCTCTAGAAAAGTAAATGGATGACAATATTTTTGCAGAACAGGATGCTGCTTTGAGAAAACGTTGTAAGAAAACACGCAGTAAGTAGCAAGGCCTTACAAAGACAGTTGTAATCTTTGTCAAATTAAACAAATCCAGGAACACCTAATGATTTCATGTACCACTTAATTTCACGCAGAAAGGAAGTGTGATAACTACACCTCACTGACATTTTCACAAAGGTGGTTGTGTTAAAATTCAAATTTTAAGCTTTTTCCCTCAAGCACCACACACCGTGGCTGGCAGCACTCACGATCGATAGCAACAGAATGCTCAAGATCCTTTCCCGTGGGCGACAGAGCTTACTTAACCAGCTCCTGTCTGTTGCTTATTGCTGCCCAGTGCAGAAGAGTCACATTTTCTTTGTCTGCTTGTCGAACATCGTATCCTGCTTCCACCAGTTCTTTGCACCGCTCTAGCATTCCATACCTTAAATGAGGAAAAGAACTGACTTTATTTCAAATATCTCCCAATTTAAACAGCGTCACACAAAGGAAAAATTCAATCTCCGTAAGTCTTGCTCAAGAGCTCCACTTTGCATTCAACGGAGTTTTTGCAAAAAAAGCTGGTCTGAGCCTCGATACATAGAATTTTCTACCTAGCAACGTTATTGCTGATGATGACAATATTTACAATAGTATATACACTTCAAGTGCTTTCCCTTGGACAAGCAGGTGGCAACAGAACTCCACCATTTTCAATTTAAAAAATCCCACATGGAATAGAAACTTTGCCCAGGTGAGACAAACACTTACTGAGTAGCCTTCACAATATCACACGTGCCAGGGTCTTCAGTGATCGGCTGCAGTGCCGGCAGCACCGGCACATCCTTCTCTCTGCAGATGCTATGGCAGCTGTGCACGTCAGGTCGATGAGGCCCACGGCAATGGTTTTTACACTGCTGGGAGACAAAACGGCCATCAGCAAACATCGTGCCAACGCTGGACACCACAGCGCCCTCTTCACAAGGCACCCTTCTTGCCACGTGCATCCGTGGAGATGCGGCACCGAGGGGCACCGGGCGCGGTACGGGCGGGTCGGGGATCTCAGGTCTTCTCCAACCCGAACGAGTCCAGTGTAAGTAAGGAAGTGGGTTTCCAACGCAAGCGAAACTTGGAGCTTCCACTCCGAGCGGAAACGTGGGAGGACAGAAATGACACCGTTACGTTCTATGAGACAGAACTACGCGGCGATTTAGTGACCCCGTGCAAAACCAGCTGCCAGCGGCACACCTTTCCCAGAGCAGCGACGGCACACTACAGACCACCACCCGTACCCGCACGCTCCGAGCCGCAGCACCGGGAAGCCTCCCGGCAGCAGCAGAGCACGCCCCGCAAGCAGCCGCGCACCTCAGGGTCCCCCCAGGCCTGACATGAACCAGGGTTTCCCGAGCGCGTCCAGAACCCGGGAAGACCCTTCGGCATCAGCCGTCCATCCCACGGCGGCTGCCGGCCGCCAGCGCCCGCCCCTCACTGCCGCGAAGGTGGCAAAACGCGGCTGCTTCAGCTGGGGTAGTGCGTGCAGACCTGGGGCACCTAACACGGGAAAGACAAGGAGCTGGGGCAGCGGGTCCGGAGGAGGGCTGCGAGGATGCTCAGAGGGATGGAGCACCTCTCCTGTGAAGAAAGGATGGTGGAACTGGGCTTGTTTAGCTTGGAGAAGAGCAGGCTGCTGGGAGACCTCGTTGTGGCCTTCCAGTGCTTGGAAGTTGTGGTTCAGACATCTGGACTGTGAAAACCTGATGCAAGCAGAAAAGACTTCTTTCACTAGAATATGGTGAATGAGTCGGTAAAGAGAAAATAGTTCTGAACAGAGGTACGGAAAGCTGTATGCACTGCTACTGCTTGCTTTCCCAGCACGGAAAGTGCAGGCATGGGTACTGCTGGGCTGCAAGTTCGGCTAGCCATCCAGATGCTGCAGAATGAATGCAAAATCAAACTCTAGCTGACATGTTAATACAGATTTTCCTTCCATATGCACAGCTGCAACATAAATAGACATCAAAGCAGCTCCACTTCATAAATATATAGAGCTTTAACTTAGCCTGGTGTCACAAAATATTTTCTATGCTTTGGATGTAGAGCTCACGTTAGGGAAGCTGAGGAAGAAACAAAACGGCACAAAAATTTGGTAGGCATTTTGCTACTTTGATATATAACGGATACCAGAATGTGGATGCACAAAAATATAACTGAAGAAGAGTTTGTTCTCCAGTTTAAGAACCTGGCGTACAAATTCTCATTTGTTAAAGTAGAAGTTAGTTGAGCAGAGATTCTCTGCGTAAGGCTGTTGGTAGCAGTGCTTACAGCAGTACACTGGCACTTTTCAATTTGATATCTTTTAATGTTTGTTGCCTGGGGGCCTCACCTCCAGCATCGTTTTTGCTAGTCTATAGGAAGCTTTCTGGAAGGAGGAAGAAATGCTTTCCTTCTACTGCACATACAGCTGGCTTTACAGAAGAAAACATGTTTGAATTTGCAGAATTCTATTCTAATTCAGCAGCAGGTTTTGCCTAGTGTTTTGCAACATACATCACTCAGTTGAGATTACAATTAGCTCAGCAGTGCAGGAAAGAATAGAAGGTGAGTTCTAGCTCATCGTAAATATGCATGAAGAGTGCCCATGTCAATGGGAGTGCAGACAGGGCTAGGCTCTGGGGTTTTTATTCTCATTACATTACCTGTTCATACAATGTGTATGGGAACTGCTGAGTCATGGCCTGAACCTCTGATTGATCCTCTGATTGAACCTCTGATTGAGGCGAGCCATGAGTCAGCCAGAGGAGCCCAGGTGAAGGCAATTCACCTGTGCTGCCTGGCTCTACCTCTCGTAGACCTATTGAAGAGCTGGCTACCAGCATTAGATGAACCATTGAGGCTAGGCATTGTTATAAGAGTTTACAAATTTCTCTGTCATTTTACCTTTGCCCTTTGAGGTCAGATGCTTCAGAAGGAATACTTTGGACTTTGATCAGTACGACACAGGTTGGGTGCTGAGATTTTTATGGTATCAGTGACATGTCTGCGTTAACTCAGTATTCAGTATCTCTCTGAATTGTAGCATGCAGAAAGGGGCAGCTAACTAGCCTGACTACCTAGGGTCCAAATTATGAACATACGGAGCCAGCTACCAGTGGGGAAGGCTCTCTTCTGGAGCCTCTCTACCTTCACTATTTTTGGATCCTGTCCAATAGCTTTTTGTCTTATATTGTGGCTCCCACAACCATGCTTGAGGTGAGGCTGCACTAATGCTGAGCAGAGAGGAACCATCCCTCACCTGGATAGCAGTGTTTGTGGAGAAGAAATGCACTTAATGCTTCACAGTGCCTAACTCAACTGAAATACCTGCGGAGGCATATCTCCAGGCATAACTAAACTAGTCCCAAGTTGCTGCATCTCACGCCGGCATCCAAATTGGCTCCTGGATGGTTCAGGAACATCAGTGCAAGGAAGGACAATTCATCTTTGTATTTCCCCTCTGGTGTCATTATACCTTCAGAGAACCACAGAATTCAGTTCTTGGAATGTATTTCTCTCTGTTCAGGCTAACTTCACACACTAAAAGTGCCATATATCATGAAATGAATATTCCTTAACGTCATACCTGTTTTCACTTCTGACACAATTTGAGGTATTATTTTCATTTTAAAGCTTCAGGTTGACAGTATGCTGTAACAAGTAGAAAGAGCAGAAACCCTCCTCTCTACGAGTGTGGCAGGTGTTTTTCTGGTCCCAGTTCCCTACTCTGTCCCAGGGAAATCTCAGTGGAGATGCTCTCAATTCGCGAGTCCAACTATATGTTCAGTGCAAGATGAGTGAAGTCAGTCTCTCCCCTTGGCACATCTTCATTGTGGAGAGAAATGGAGGCACTCAGATCTTAAACAAGAAGCTCAGTGTAGCATCACAGAGGAGGGGCGAGCACATCCACAAAAGCAACTTCTCTGTACATAGAGATGAGTTGTGGAGATCTCTGCCTTGAGATACAGAGCAAGGCAAGGAAAGGAAGAGAATAGATTTACATGGATTTTGTATTAACGTGTTTCTGCTGTAATGTCATTGCACTCAATGCCAGAAAATCAGCGCTAGAGGCATGTTGAGGGTACAATCCTGCCTCATGGTTTGACTCAGCTCACAGAGCAAACATTTGGAACAGGACATGTAGGTGTCTGTATGTCACCAAGATGTATACGATCTCAGTGTACTCATGGATACTCATGACTGTTGCTCGTAAATGAGTTGTCTCAGTATCAAAGTGGCTTTGATTGTATTCACTGTATCTGGACAGAAAAATATAAATGTGCATTTGAGGTTATTTCCACCTCATCATCTTTTTTGTCCAAGAGAAAGGGATTTTTAAGGGCAGGTTGGGACTGGTTCCCTTCTTCCAGTAGGAGGTTATTAGAGCAATAAATATAAATTGTAGGTGACTACCAAATGAGATGATTGTTATATCCTGACATTCCTTGCCCTGAACACAATTGAAGAGAAGCATGAGGTCTAATAAGTCTTTGTGAAATCAGAATAATTATAAATTTCTATTTTATCCATCATTTCTGCTTTCCGAGTTTCTCCTATTACCTACCAGGGCACCTACTTCGTTCTGTACTGGACCCACGTTATTACTAGTCTTTTGTTTTTCCATAGACTTTCTTGTGATCCTCGACCTCCTTTATCAGATCCATTTACAGATGGGTCTCAGCCTTCACAGAATTACAGAATCACAGAATTGCAGAGAGAATTCTGCACCTGCAGAGGTGCAGAATTGGAAGGCACCTAATGAGGTCATCAACTCCAAACCCCTGCAGTGACCCCACAATAGGTCACACAGGTAGGCATCCAGATGAGTCTGGATATGAGATATACATTATCTCTGTAGAAGGATACTCCACAACCTCTCTGGTCAACCTGTTCCTGTACTCCATTATCCTAAAGAAGTACAGAAGTACTTCTGTGTGTTTGTATGGAACTTCCTATGTTCAAGTTTTAGGCCATTGCTCCTTGTCCACTCACTATACACTACTGAGAAGAGCCTGGCCTCATCCCTTTGCCTCCCACTTCCTTTTAGATATTTATAAACATTTATCATATTTCTCCCCCCTCCCCCTCCTGCCCCCATTTCCTCACCCTCCCGCCCCCTCACCCCCCGGCCTTCTTTTCTCCGGGTTGAACAGATGCAGGTTACTCTGCCTTTTCTCATAAGGAGATGCTCCAGGTCCTTTATCATCTTTGTGTCCTTCAAATGGACATCTTCTAGGAGATCCCTGTCTTTTTTGAACTGGGGAGCCCAGAACTGGATGCAGTAGTCTAAATGTGTCCTCCCCACAGCAGAGTAGAGGAGGATGATCGCCTCCCTTGACCTGCTGGCTGCACACGTTTTAATGCATCCCAGGATGCTCAAGGGTACACTGCTGGCTCATGGCTAACCTGATGCCCACCAGGACCCCCAGGGATCCTTCCTACAGGGAAAGATCTGCACAGCTTCCAACAGGTCATTCCCTAACCTGTACTGATGCACACAGTTCTCTCTCCCCAAATGCAGCACTCTCCACACACTCTTGTTATATAAACCTCCATGTCCAACTCTCCAGTCAGTCCAAGTTTAGTACAGTTTAGTACAACAGTAGTATAGCCTGCCAATGTGTCAGCCCCTCCTCCCCAGATTTCCATCATCAGCAAACTTGCTGAGGGTGGACTCTGTCCCTTCATCCAGGTCATTGATGAAGATATTGAGCAAGACCAGACCTGGCGCTGACCCCTGGGGAACATTGGTAGGCCTCCAACTAGACAACTGCACACTCCTTTGTACTTCCTCCTTAGAAGTATATTCTTCTTAGGTGTCTGCTGTTTTTCCACTGCTACTTCCAATATGCTGCTCAGCTTTTTAATGGTGTCAAAGAGAGTGTTGTACATTGGATGCCTTATACAGTTTGGCTTCTTTGCACTTTTTGCCACCACTGAGATGTTTTTCCTGGCTGCGATGGCATATGACTTCTAGATGGCCATTTGTAACTCACTGCTCTACACATGCAAGAAATGTTCCACAAATGGCTGGATTCCTGAATCTTTTACATCAGCGTGTAAAAGTCACGTTGTGAAGATTGCTGATTGAAGGGTGTGTCATAGGGAAAGACACACAAATAAATCCTCTTACTTAGGCCTTAGTGAGGCTCTTCATCGTAGGGGTCAGCTGTCTCCTCTTCGAAGTCTTTGGACACTAATGTGGGATTAACCTTTCTTGATTAAATGTTGATGTTTGGATATCTCTTGCAAACTTGCTCCATTTTTGTAACCAGTGAAGAGACATGGGCGCACTCAAATTTGTGTAATCCTTCCCAAGAAAGATGTCTTAAAACAGATTAGATGCACTTGTCTCTGAAGCTGAATGTTTTCTCTGTGGACTGTACAAAGAGCTAACGTGTTGACCTGCCATGCTCAACATTTTGAATTTTTGTCTGTGCAGATATAGGTACCTTGATCACACCTCAAGGCTTTAACTATTCCTTGTGATTGCTGTCATCATCACCTGCTGCTGTCCTAAGGACTAGTACAAAATAAGAGTTACTACTGGCATACCATGTTACATGGTTTCAAACAATGTGGGAGTGTTTTGAAAATATAGCAACTGGGCAACGTAAAAGGTGACTCAAGTTATCTAAGAGGGAAATAAAGGGAGGAAACTCCATCTTACATGCCTTGGAAGCATAAGACATGGGCAATTATACGAGTGGAAACCCTCCAGAGAGTGGCTTATAAAATGGAGTGTTGTTTTGCTCTCAGAGTGCGTGCTTTGAGGACCACTGTGTGATTTCTTTCTCATACACAGAGCTTCAGTCAGGAAAATGAACAAGCTCCGACTGGTTGAAATCTTGGAGACTGAATCTTTCCCAGCTTGGTCCACAAAAGCTGGACTAAAGCTGTTGCAGAGGTAGCTGCAGCTCAGATGGAATCTGCTGATGAGAGCTTTGAACAGGGCTTGTGTTCCCCCCCTTGCTGTACTTAATATGTACAGGCTAAGTCTAGCTTTCCAGCACACATTCCGGACATCTTGCCAGCACCTGACAGTGAGAGCTCCTCCCCACCATAGAATGTTGGTCCTCCATTTTTTTATAAGCTTTTTTAAGAAATGGAGGGCCACACTGAAGACTCCTTAGAGCCTTCTCTGAAAAGCCCCACTTCCTCTGCCTGTATTCATCTAGAGAAGAAGAGTCACAAGGCAGGATATTCTTATATAGTCACATTAATCTATCTTATTCTGAGGTGGTTTAATGCTCAGTTAGCTCCTTAGTCATCCTGTTCCGTGTATATGCAGAGAGGGAGATGACTCCAGAAGATGTTTGAGAATACCTGTGTCTTCTTACTGCCTCATCTTTCCAGTTGCCACATTGACAAAGACAATCTTTAGAGCTAATGTTTCTCAGACACCAGTTCATCTGCATTGGCAGAAGAAAACTAACAGGCTTTCCCATAGTGCACGTGTAGTCTTTAATGTCTCATTATCGGTCTATGACATGGCTATCATCTGTATACGCTTTCTTTCTAGGCAGTGAAGAAAGATAGATTGTCTGAAGGGTAATATGAATAATTCACCCACAATCGTAAAAACACTGACATTCCCCCCCCCCCCCCTTCTGTGTCTCTAAAAGGGCCGCGAGTAAAGCTTGCATGTAGCTGTGTGCTTTTCAGATTTCATGTTTATCAGTGGAAACACTATTACGTTACAGCATGTGGAATGTTGAACAGCTAATTAAAATTGCAGTAATCTCTGTTTCTCTCACCTGTCTTCTGCATACTGCACAACCTCATGTGTTCCGTTTGTAGAACAGAGCAAGACACCTTGCCCTGAACAGCTACATGCTACTGTGAGCACAGGAATCCCAAACATTTCTTTACCAGCTTGGTCCACAAAAGCTGGACTAAAGCTTTTGCAGAGGTAGCTGCAGCTCAGATGGGATCTGCTGATGAGAGCTTTGAACAGGGCTTGTGTTCCCCCCTTGCTGTGCTTCCTACTTACAGACTAAGTCTAGCTTTCCAGCACACATTCCAGATGTCTTGCCAGCACCTGACAGTGAGAGCTCCTTCTCCCCACCACTGGAACCCTACAAATTTAAAGACATTTCCATGATTGATGTTTTTCAGAAGCATTCCTTCCAGGAGGAAGTCTAAGTCTTCATCTGGTGACTGCAAGCAAAAGCAAGCAGAATCAAGAGAGATCAAAGAGAGATTGCTTCTGAAGATCATTGAAAAGGGGCTATGAAAAAAAAGAAAGATAATGACTGAAATTACAGGGGAATTGGAACCAGATTATCTTCAAGGTCCCTTCCAACCCAGACAATCCTACGGTTCTCTGATTCCATGAAATACTTTACAAATGCTTTTTTTGTTTCATATTTCATACAACTTTTTTTTTTTTTTTTTTTTTTTTTTTTTTTTTTTTTTTTTTTTTTTCTTTTTCCAACTGAGATTGCTTCTTGGGCTTTGTGAATTTGTTATTACACCTGCAGAACTCTTCAGAAATGTATTTACATCTTCTTCTCTCTGCCTCAGGCTCCTGGCATTTAAAGAGGCAACCAGATCTTTCCTGAATGAGAGAAACGTAATGTGAAAGTAACACTAACCATCCATTCCACCTTTCCACCTATCTGCTAAAAAGTTTCTCAAATGAGACTAGTGTTGGTCTGCTGTTCTGTTGTCAACAATTTTTTACTTTTTGTCTTGTGGACATCTGTAGGTTCCTTACTCAGGGGAACTTGTGCACTTTGTAAATGTGAGTAGTTTGGTGATTCTCAACTGGGTGAAGACCATCAGTAAAATATTCCATTTGTTATTTCCCAGAAGAGAACACCTATTCTCTTATGTAATCAGGCACGGAAACTGGCATTTCTGAAATTACACAATGTTTTGCTTGGCTTTCACCAGTGCCTGTAATCAACCAAGTATAACATTCTACTTCTGATGGATTCTCCACCAGCTGAATTTAATCTTTATTTAGGATGGATCAAGTTGCGTGACCAGGTATTATTACAAGGTCATGCATTCTCTTTCAGTCATCCAAACACAACACAACATCTGTATGAAAAACAAGTAACCAGAGCAATGAGCCCTCACATTATAGGGCATCCAGCATGAGTTCTTGGTACAGATTGAACACTCTGTCCACCCAAAGGACATGTCAGCCAGAAGGAACAGCACTCTGCCTGCAATGCCTATGCTCTACAAGATACGCAGCTGCACAAGTGAGGGGATGAGAATGCAGACTGACTGAGAAGTGACCAGTACCAGGTTAATAGACCTAAATGTCTGTGTTCCTGTGTGTTCTACTGATTTTCCAGTGTCCTACAAACGTCCTAAAGCATCCTTCCCCATTCCTTTGTCTTAGTAAAGCAAACAGGATTTGCCCTAAATGGGGCTGTAGAGAACTGTGAGCAGCTGTGGGAGACAAGACCTCTGTCTGCCTATTAGAGGACTCCCACGAGGACACTAATTATGTCCTTTGTGTTCGATCTGAAACATAGTAGCCAAAGAAGACTCAGTTGTTTGTTCAGTTCCTAAGAGCCCAAGGAGCAAATGTTTGCAGTAGCAGGTCCTGATGTTTCCTTTAGTTGCACATCTTCTCTAAGGAAAAAACACAAAGCAGAGATGTCACTTAGACAAAAAGTCATGATGGAGCCTGAAGCACCCAGCTGAAAACTAGACATGAACTAGACTTTCTATGGGCAGACATAGGTTGTGATGGCATCCTTCAGAGGCAGATCCAGATATCTGCAGTGCTGGAGTGTTTGGAAGTTCAGGATTGGTGAAAGAAGTGTTTTTGAGCCTTAAAATCCAGGTATGTCCTTGCCAATTCTAGCACAGAGCTTCCATACAGACCCTGAAAGGTCCCCTGCTCTGACAAGCACATCCCAACAACCTCCTCTAAAAAAATCCAGGTATGAATGCACAAGAAAGACTGGGGAAAACAATACCATTCTTTGAATTTCACACCTAGAGACCTCAAAACATTATTTCTTGTTTGCTTTTCTAAACTGTGAGTTTCCATGTGAGCAAGATGGTCAGGTTACCATTAAGAGCAATTGTCATACACAAAAATAGGAGTGGCTATTCAATCTAAACATCTCGGCTGCTTTTTTTGGTTAATGGAAGAAGACTAGGCTCCCCAGAGAGAAATTCAGCCTACTCGTAGGCTTCCAGCCTGCTCACTCCCTTCCAAATAGGGGGAGAAATAAATAGGATGGGTAGTTGCCTCCATCATTGCTTAATAATGCATGGGTTGCAAGAGCACCCTAGTTGATTTGGAAGTCTGGATTATATTTAGACATGGAAATGATAGTTGTCTGATTGCCCGGGAAAGTCTGCTCTGATCTAACAACAGACCCAGACATTTAAAAATCCATGTCATTTTTTTATATTTTGTGTGAGTGGCTTCTGAATAAAATACAAGTTCAGTCATGAGAAGGAGGAGCACCCCATCATGTGCCCTCCTCTAGAAAGCAGCTTTGGATTTGCATTAGTTTAGTCATAAAAGAGACCCAAACCTGCCATTTCTCACAGTCTGTGTTAACATTTTCAATAGTTCGGTAGTCCGGCTGCCTCTCCTATTGACTGACAAAGAATGGGTGCTTCATAGGCCGAAGAGAGAACTACTGGTTTAGTTGAGATGCTTCCCTTCCAGACAAAATATACTCTGGTGAGTTTAATTATTTCCTGGTGAATAGGTAATCAAGAAATGCTTAGCTGAAAAGACAAAGGCAATTGCAGGACTCATGCAGCATTTAGCGTGTTTCTAAAGCCACCACTGATACCTGCAAGTCAAACTTAGCATCAACAAAATATATTAATTAGGATCTGTGCTGTTGCAGATGCATATTGCTTTGTCCCCCAAAGAAGGATCATTGGGCATCTCACTATTATTATCCCCCTGAGCATGGTCTAATTGGAGAAAATATTATCTGCAGTTTTGAGGACGTTCTAAAGAATCACAGCTGCACAAAAGGGAAGCAAGATCCACTACACAATCTCAACCTCTGTGCTTCTTGATGGTAGGACTATTCATGAAATACTTTTCTTCCTCTCTTAGCTTTAAGGTCACCACACACCTCATCAGCAGTTAAACTTCTACAGAGGTGAGGATGACAGTAATCAACCACACCACAGTCCCCTACTTTATCCTTTTGGGACTGACTGATTGCCCAGAACTACAGCCTATAATCTTCGTGATGATTCTGCTGATCTATATCATCACCCTGATGGGCAACCTCAGCATGATCATCTTGATCACAATTGACTTCCAGCTGCAAACACCCATGTATTTCTTCCTTATTAACTTGTCCATCGTGGATCTCTGCTATTCTTCTGTTTTTATTCCGAGGATGCTAGTAAACTTCTCAGTGGAGAATAAGACTATTTCTTACTCAGGATGTCTTGGCCAGCATTTTTCATTTGTTGTGTTTGTGACCACGGAAGGATTTCTGCTGGCTGCAATGGCTTACGACCGCTATGTCGCTATATGCAGCCCACTGCTTTATACCACTCTTATGGCCAGAAGAGTCTGTGTTTGCCTGGCAGTTGGGTCATATTTAGGGGGACTCTGTAACTCATTGGTACATACTTGTGGCTTACTGCAATTGTCCTTCTGCGGCCCTAATACCATCAACCACTTTTTCTGTGACACAAACCCGCTACTACAACTCAGTTGCTCTGACAACCATCTCAATGAGCTGGTGCTTGTAACCCTCTCAGGGATTGTAGCTATGTCAACGCTTCTCTTTATCATCATCTCCTACCTCTACATCCTCTCATCCATTTTGAGCATGGGCTCTGCAAGCAGATACAAAGCTTTCTCCACCTGTGCCTCCCATCTGACAGCTGTAACACTCTTCTATGGGCCCGTGAGTTTGAGTCATGTGCAGCCCAGTTCAAGATACTCGCTGGAACAGGAAAAAATTTCTGCGGTATTTTACACCCTGGTCATTCCTATGCTGAATCCCCTGATATACAGCCTCCGGAACAACGAGGTGAAAAATGCACTTAGAAGGTTGATGAAGAGAAAAAAATGCTGTCCATCAGCATGCCTGTCAGCATAATAACCAGTTCCCTAGGAGATTTGGAAAGAGATGGAGATACCAGTTTGGTACTAATTATGAACACCTATGAATCAAATGTAACTCAAAAGATAGGGAATGGATGATAGGACTTACAGTAGGAAAAACAAACAATCTTTTCATGTTTGTTTATTTGTTTGGGTTGATGATGATGATGATTGTATTCCTTCATCTTTCTGACACATTTCTATCTTTCTAGAGAAGAAGATGAAAATTGTCTCCCTCTACTGTTTGGTTCTGTAAAGTATCTCCATGTTTTTGGTGGAATCATCAAGGAAAATATTGTAATTCTTTACTTCAAGTGCAGGGACTCATAAATTCACGTGCATGCCTGCAGTGTTAGTTTCCAGTGTTGGATCCTGCTTGACATATTTTTATTGCTCCCAAGTCTTTGGTTCTTTTTCGGTGGCACAGCAATATCAGATGAGGTTCTTCTCCCCAAAAGAAGCTGAAGATGACTTTGGACTAGCGTTATCTACATAGAAAATCCTGTAAGGTCTCAGCTTAATCACACACTGTTTCTTGGCAAATTAAGAAAAAAAATTAAATGACAAAACCTGTGATCTAAGCAAATGTGTTGTCATGAATTCTTGTCTGAGAATTCGGTTTGTACTTCTCCTTTCCATAGAGCTTTGTAGATCAAGTGTATTCCATAGAGGTGGTACCCAGATTACTGTAATTGCCTGCAAATTACAAATCAGTAGCACCACCATGGTCAGAAAAGTGCATGGAAATTTTATCCAGGGTTGATCGTTTTGTCTGAATTGAACTGTAGGGCACACAACCTGATATTAAGCAATATCAGGCTACATTCATACACATGTGGATTTGGTGGTTATGAAATGTATTTTTTATGAGTGCGAACTTTCACACATTACTTCAAACATGATGGTTTTTGCTACTATACTATTACCCACATGGGACATAGCAAATTAGAGCATTTTTTTGGCACACTGAATGGCCAACATGGTGATTCCAAGCAATTCACTTGCACAATTAAGAAGTTAATGGTAGTGAATTGCCATTAACATACTCCGACATTGGTCCCTCAGGACTATTCCAAGAGATGTCTCTACCCCTCACAAAAAAATCCATATTCTCAATTCATGGCCAAGCAACATGCTAGGCATCATCCTAAACTCCACCTCTGAAAGATGTAGATAAGCTGAGCATGCAGCTCACTCTAAGACTGCAAGGAAGAAAAAACCTGAGCTTTCAGTTCATGTAATAACATTTTTTACATTAAAAAACTGAACCAATAATATAGCACACATAGAAAACAAAACAAACAAAAAAAAAAAACAGGCAATGTATATTTTACCCAGTACTTACTGATCTATATCGTCATCTTTCAAGGCACAAGTCTTCTGTAATGTTAATGAAGAAAAAACAGTAGTCAGAAAGTTTATTAATATAGGAAACACAGGATGAAAAGAAATTAGCCATGAAGCTGTGCCTTCATTGATCACTTTTACATGTATGCAAGGATTGCACGATAAGAATAGAGGACAGACATCTCACAAGAACCATATCTACACAGTCATTTCTAGTGAAGCAAATCAAAGAGGACTACCATCATTAAAAAAAAAAAAAAAAAACAGAACAAATAAACCAATATTTCAGTAATTAAGTCACACAGTCCTAATTTCTTCCTAATTATTGATTTCAGGGCCTACAAGCTATTGATATACAACCAGCAGGCTCATTTCTTTACTGGTACTGCAGATTCATGTTTTAAGTGCTGAAGATGTGCTTCCATCATCATCAGCAGCAGCTTTTTCACTACCTTTTTTTTTTTTTTTTTTCTCTGTTCTAAACAGTATACAGTGAGCTACTGAGTTCATCTGAAGGAAAACTTTGCATTTTTACTCAGTAAATTAGTCTAAGTTTGATACAAAAAGAAGAAAAAAATTAACTTTTGATCACAGTGATATGTTTAAAAATGCAGTGATAACCTCTGTAACTTTGAACTATAGTCAACCATAAGAACATTATTGTCATGTTAAGAAAACTCTCAAAACCCTATAATCTCTACATTGTAGCTTCTGCATTAATATAAATTACTGCCATGAGTAAAAGTTATGTTAGTAATACTGTTTCATATGCCATATCAAACATTGCAAATTATTATGTGTGTTTGATTTCAGGAAGTAAAATTGTGCCAACTGACATGCAGTAAAAAACCCTACTTGTTATTCATCAATATCTGCAGATACAAGATGTCTAAGAGATAAAAATAATTTTGCCAGTTGAGATGGTGACTCAAGACTGCAAAGCAAGTGTTCTTACTCTTACATATGTGAAAATAACTCTACAAATATGCAGTTTATCAATTGGCCAGAAACAACACCAAAGATGTCAAGTGGAAAACGATGAAAAGTTAACAATGAAGTGATAACTTGTTTGTTTGTTTAAACCTGCGAAGTGCCTCTCAGTTTACATGGAAAGTCTCCTACTTGGAAACTATGAAAATTTTAATGAAAAAACATGGTGATATGTCTTATTCCCTCGACAAAAGACAAACACAGATTTCAAATACAAGTAACAAGCACTGGTACCTTAAGAGTAACAGAAGAAAAATACTGTGATAGTTACAATGGCAATTCCCATTTAATGAGCTCATTATAAAGACAATTAAGAAAACTGCTGTTTACAGAGTCACATCTACTAATGAATTCCATGTAGACTGAGATTACAGGAATAGCAGCCTTGATTCAGTGCATTGTGTAAAAACTGTCATGCAAAAGCCTACCTATTTCAGAGTATGGTTGCAGAAGTAGTTAGTCATCCAGCTTTGAACTATTTTCCATTCGATTTCCACTTTCTTAATAATCTGTCAGCTTTTGTATGTTATTCTCGTTCTGCAGTCTTTGCAGCCAAAGTTATAGAAGAATCTTCTACTTATGTTAATGTAGTTGCTTTTAATGTAAATAACTACCTTGTGCGTCAAACTAGACATGCTGCAAAAGACTGTAAAATCATTAAAACATGGCATTGTCTTAAAACGGTATTTTGCAAATCGTTCCTTGTCTAGGCTAGAAGTGCAAAGGCAGTTTAAAATAATGAATTTAAATAAAATAAATTTAATAAATAAATTTAAAATAATAAAAATTGTCAAGAGCCGTAAGGATTAAAGTAAGATACACTGTTGGCATTCTTGATAATGGCAACTTCTAACCAGTTGTCTTCCTTGTGACTCATAAGTTGTTTTTACTAGAGCTTAAAAAAATTTTTTTTTAAAATGCTTTAGTCAAGAAACATCAGCATTGTACTATTAGAGAATTCAGTTTTCACTGTTTGTTCTCATGAGAATTGGGCAAACTTTTGATGAGTAAGCTTATCACACTTTTTTTTTTTTCTCTCCTTAGAATCAAAGTTAAAGAAGGAGTAACCACCCAAGGAACTTAGAACTTTTAGATGCCATGTATCTTTAGTACAGTTATACAGCAAAACTATTAGCTGCTGGAAACATTAACTGATACTTGAATTAATACAATTCCAATTTCAGTTTATACTATATCCATATTTTGTTTTTGGAACAACATAATCAGCTTGATTCTAAATACTCCAAACCTTGATTTGATTTAAACTGCTCTTCCAAGAAGTTGGATAGATAGCAGTACTTTCCAACTACTTGTCCATTTTTCATGTGGAAGAACTGAATTTTTAAGAACTATTCCAAAAATTTGTTACAGATGTCAAAAAGTTTATTGAAGATGTCAGTTATCTACAGTGTCCCCTACTTCAGCTGAGTCGCAGTTCTTCCTTCAGTGGTCATAAACATAAGAAAACACAATAAAGGTCAGATTACTCCCTGGGAGCTGTTCAAGTCACAATATGTGATGTGGCTCACAAGAAATTAGAATAGTTATTCTTAGAAGGTAATTCCTAAATCTATGACCATCCAGTATTTTAAGAGGCTTTAGGGACACAAGTGAGACTACATTGGTCATTAGCAGTAAAAATGACTTTGGGTTACCTACGTGTGGCAGTAAAGTCTCCTATGTTTCTCATCATTCCTATACTTGACTCCTAATACAAATAAATAAAAAGAGGAAACAGTACATAAATGCAGCTTACCAGATGCAGAATAGCAGCAGTGAAGTTGAAACATGATAATCAGCACAGAACTCACTCAATTTGCCTTCCTGAAAATCTGGCATAGAATCCTTTTTGCTCTCACTCTCATCTGAAGAAAGTTTATCCAGTTCTATTATCACAGTTGACTTTGTGAGTCTGTCTTGGTGTAACCCAAAATAAAAATAAAGTGCAATTGAAGAAATTGCTTTAAGCTCAGCTTTCCCAAGCTTGCAATGTGGGGAAAATAACCAACTTCATATGGTAAAGTAGCAATATGCATTTCTGCAAGCTGTAATGCTTTTAACTTAATACACATGAACTGTATTTCCATGCAGCTGTTCTGCAGTACTTATTAAGTACTGCAGCTCCTCTCTAAGGTAGATAGCTTCTTTAAAAAGCTCTTCTGGTCTTGGAGTGACAAAAATACAGTATTTCTGTGAGGCTTGTACAAAAATAGAAAGGATAAGTGATGACATCTATATCTGCTAAGTTCTGGATTAACTTTAAGAGTCTAATTCCCATTGTTCCCTACTGGTCCAGTTTGGAGGTAGTTCCTTTTTATAGTTCCTTTTATGTATGATCTATGTATGCTGTTATTGATGGCTGAAGTTGTGCAGTTTTGTCTTTAAAAAGAAACTTCTCCCAAATGAAAAGGCTGGCTGTTAGATGTCTTTTTTTTTTTTTTTCCTTCTCCTTACAGAAGCCAGACTTACTAATATATCGCAACCAAATTTCATAACTTCAATTGAACTTCTCTACTGCCAAATAGGCAGAAGTTGATATTGTACATCATCACTATTCATAAATCAAGTATATCAAGACCTCTAAAGGAAGCAAAACTTTAATCCTCTGATGACAACACATTGTGAACATACAGAGGGAGATCTTTTTGAAAGCTGCAT